TATGTTTCAAAATAATTTTGGAATATGCTCCTCATGGACCCACATATAACTGTGCTAAAAGTTTTTCCCCAACTCTCTTCATTTCTTGTAGAAATACCGAGGCGAATGTGGTGGGCCACCTTGTATAGTATCTATGAACTAAAAAAACTCTAATAAGGATGTTTTTAAGGTCATCGCTCACCTGTATTGATAAATTAACTGGTAATGTCTCAGGCAAGAACTCGTCAAATGGTAGATCGAAAGAAAGGTGTAAAAAATGTGCACACAGAGCCAACTGAGTATTTTCCAATCTGTTATGTTGACCAACGCTGCCACAATCTATCCAGTTGAACTGGTTAACTTGAGTTAATAATTCACAGTGTTTAAGAGTTAATCCGAAACGCCAAGTATATGGCACAAAATGTGTCAAGTCCGGGCGTTGTTTAGAAGCCCAATCGTTTATTAAATCTGGAAAAGAATGAGGTACAAAGAAAATAGTAAAAGATATAAATAAATTATTAAATATCAATTACTTGGGATACATAGTGTTTGAAGGAATATTTATTTTCACTTACCTGTGAAGAACCATTTATGAAAAAAAATTAGGTTCACTGAGGCTTTACACCCCGTTAAATTGACCTCCCATAACTGGTGATCATTCCATATTAATGGATAGTGACACAGCACACAAAACTCCAATGTTTCGCTCTCAACAAAGTGTCTGAATTGCAAACTAGTTGTTGCTTCTAAGTGTAAGAGTTGACCTTTGATAGTAGTGGTATAACCTGCGGTGGTAGTAACCCATGGAATGGTAACCTCTAAGTAACTTCCAGCACCTACGTTAATGTGCACAGCATTCGTTTCTTTGTCTTTGGTAAAGAGTATGTCAATTGTTGCCTCATTTTGCATTAGCAGTCTGACATCAAATGATTGCATCTGCCGTTTTTCACCAGGTTTCGTGGTTTCTGTCACCTCCATGGGCAGAAAATCTTGAGGATAAAAAAATTTAAACAGGTGTTCTCTTTGCCGATCTGCCCAAGGACCATAGCTGAAGTCAGTTCCTGAAAGAAATAATGGGTACAATTCCGATAAGAACTAATAATTAATATCTAAATTGTGCAGAACTATCTTATCCCAGTAAATTTTAAACAGTTACAGTTTTCTTGGTCTAACCAGTTGTTATCGACGATTAACTAAAAACTTTGGTTTGATAGCAAAACTATAATATGTGTATTTCATCAGTTCGGACTTCCATTGTCTAATATAATATAAATTGATTTGAAATCCCTGAAAAAATAAAAGATTTTTAGCGTCGGTCCCTTTGATGTTGGTGCCCAGGAGTTACAGTTTTTACAATGCTGACGTATTTGACACTAATGACATTTCTCCCTACTACAATCTCAACCAAAGCGTCTAAACACTGCTCAACATAACAACTATTCATATAAACTGCTCAAAAAATACTGTTGATGAATACCATGTTGGGCACCTGAGAAAATTGTACAAATGATAATTTTGCATTTGTGTAATATTCAAGTAACCCCATTTGGACAATGATGAGCTATGTTTCAAGTAGATTTTAAAAATTCATGGGATCAGCAGATGTTCATATTCAGATGTGACAAAATATATTTTCATTTCACAGTAGGTTGGGTTAAACCCAGGTAATTCGACAACTATGGAAAGGTTGCATGCCTGTCTTGAACTCGTCGTTTGCGCAGACCTGAGATTGCACCTCCTGGGTCTGCGTGTAGAAAATTCAAACCAAAAATCACCTGAAGTGGGATTACTGTATATAGTATACTGTGGTCAGAACTGTAGCAAATAATTTTCAAATTATTCGCCAAAGTTAGGTTGGCACCAGTTATTTGAGTTTGATTCAAATAACAGTTAGAAAGGTAGGGGAGTGTCTAAATTCAATTGCCAATTGATCATCGTGGCGGAAAGGTATAACCAGTACACTATTTTGATTAATGTCGTCCACTTTTCTTCCCCCATTCTAAATATTTCAGGTTAATAGGTATTTATAGTTATTAGTTGATATCAGTTTTACTAAAATCAACAATATGTAACAGAATTTTACCTTTTCCACATTTGATATCCACTCCCCATTGAGGCGGACTGGGCTCTACTATTTCTCCATTAGTCAGAGTAATTTGGACAGGTTCTTCTGGTTCAAGACCTGGAAAAAAGCACAAGCAATTACATGTATAAAATAATAAACTTTTAATGACTCCAAAGTTGAAAATGACAATATTGGTAGTCAGAATTCTTGATAAATTCCTTAATGCAGCTTTGTAATTCACTTCTCAAATTCGTCATATCATTTTGATTTAAAAGAAAATTCTCAGGTAAATAAAACTAACTAAATAAACTGAATAAAACTGAATAAAAAATCCATAATTACATCAGCTTGGAAAATGAGATTTAATCAGTATATTGGAACTTGTCAAACTGCAAACAGTACGACTAAAATCACATGTTAGCCATTATTGTAAATCAATTCATTCATTTTTCCATTTTTTGTTGTCCTCGATAAAATGTTTGAATGTGATAAGTTGAATATACCAAAGGGTGAAATTTTTCCCCATTTTGAGTCCTCTCCGAAATCATGCCTGTTGGCCGATAAAAATTTTAAAATGAACTCAACAACCTTCATCAATAAGAATTAAATAGCCTAAAAAATTAAACTAAATGAAATCTATTCAGAAAAAAATCACCAATCCCCTACCAACACTCTCTAGTATGTAGTTAAATTTCAACAATTTGACTGCTGAATCCATACCATCGAGGAATTCTCAAATTTTTTATTTTATACACTGCAGATAGCCAAGATTTCCATTTTCTAAATAGATCAGGAGTGATTTTATCATCCCAAGCAATTTTATGTGACCATACTTCCTGCATCAAAATTCTGGCTTGTATAGTGAAAGCTGCTAACAGGCCAAGTGGATCATAAACTGACATTACCACTTTCAATAGTTCTCTCTTCGTGGGAATATTGTCTGTTACAATTATTTTTTCATGTTTTTTCAAAAATGTATCAGGAAAACTGAGAAGATCATCTTTTGTATACCATATTAAACCTAAAATTCTTNTTTTGGAAAATTGCATCTAGTTCTCTAGAACACCTTAGAAAAGAGGGAATGTTTTATAATATCAACTGAATTCTTATTTCATTTTTTCTAGTGATATATAAAATGATGATTTTAAAAACATATTTGGAATTTCATTTACCTGTGTATTTTATGCTTGGTGCAAGCATAACTTTAACATTTTCAGCTTTACATTTCACAAAATGCATAAATCGATCAAGAGTGCATGCAGCTGGTTTAGTTGAATAAACAAAATGAGACTCTTCAAATGTTATACTGAGTGTAGTGGGTATAAGACGGTTTCCAAAAACTATACGACTCTACAATGAAGAAAATTGTATATTTCAGATCGGGAAATGTATTGTCTGAAATAACTCACAGAAGAAACATCACATTTTATCACTGGTATCAAATCTCGCCAAGTTTTAGCCATAGCTGCTTCTGGTTTCGGTTTTTTGGTTGATTTTTTAGGAGCTGTTTCATTTTCATTTCTGAAATTCACATCTTATCTTAATAAAATATAAAACAAACTTACTACTTACCTTTCAACTTCTACTTCCACTTTATTGTCATTATTAGGAAAAATATTTAGGTCCAGTCCAAAAATCTTCTCTAGTCTGGCATATACCTCGGATCTATTATACACATGAAGTTCAAAAACATTCAACATAACAGACAATCTTGTATCAGAGTGAGAAAGATCTGAAAATAAATTTTCAATTTCACGATATCAAAAAAATTAGGAAGGTCTCGTGAGATAAAGTAAACAATTTTTCTATGATGAAAAACGTTAGAGAATTGCAATAAAACCCTGGTTAACCGAACTTGGGTTAACTGAAACCCGGGGCAACCAAAAAGAATTCATGAATGATGGGCATATGAATAAACTTGCGAAATATAAGTAGCGGGACATTGTGTTACCCCTTTGTCTCTTGGTAGAAGAGTGGATGTGTAACGAATAAATGTGGCGACTGGTTAGGCAAATGACGTGTCTCTGAGATAATTCAACATACAAATATATGAGTACTGCTTCAATCTATAACACAAAACGGCAAAATCATTTCTACTTGGCGTATGTTTTTTCTTTTCTTGTGTGTGTTTAGGTACTGTAGATAGCATCCAAGCGGAAGCATGTTGTGATTCGTTCTGCGGATAAAGTAGCTGCTGATGAACAAGATGAAAAAGGTCATTGATGAAAACTTTTGCGTCTAATTACCGAGCGGAAATTTCTACCGTTTCAGACTGAGTAAAATCTTTGCCTGAAGTAAGCTGAAAAAAATTGTGACAGAAAAACATTGAAGACATCAGATTATGAAAAATTTAATTAGGTTTTATATCTGTGGTTGACACAACAAGGAGAAAAAGGCATGCCAATAAAAATATTAATACTTCACGAAAATGCTAAAACCTTGGCGGAGTTGTTAGGTGAGGAAGGTAAAGATTTTTGTGCTAGCTTTGGTTGGCTAAACAAGTTTAAAATGCAATATGACATTCCTCAACTGAACTTGTGCGGAGAAAATTTCTCTACTTCATCAGACGCAGTAGATGTTTTCAAAACACAGTTTGAGAATTACACAATGCCAGTGAAACAAGGTTGATTTTGAGATGTTGCCTATAAAGTTTCTAGTTTCAGCAACTGAAACATCTGCCCCAAGTCACAAAATGAAAAAAGAACGCATAACAGCTCTTTTACTTTCAAATGTTTCTGGTACTTATAGGATATAACTAATGTGCATCGACAAGTCAAAAAATCTGAGGTATTAAAGTATATTGTGTTGAATGCTTCACCAATTTGGTTAACTTGAAGAATGGTTTACTGATCAGTTTTAGCCGAAAGTTGAAAAATTATTAGTTGGAAAAGATTTGCCAAAAAGGTATATGTTATTTATTGATCGGTGAATATAAATTGTACTAAATATAAATTGGAAAGTCGGGTTGGTTGAAAAAGAGATCGTACAGTGTGATAGCTGCCACAGCTTTTTCTATAATATCAAAAAAGGTGCAATTTTTTCATCTATTTGAATTACTTGAATGTTCTTGCACAAAAATAAAGTTTAATTGCTGATATAAAATGTTATGAACTAGTTTTTATCATATCAAGTGAAACCAGAATCACGGATGTTGATAATTTTGAACTAAAATCAAAAACTGTTTATTTACTCACGATCCACTGGATGAGTAATGATTAATGTGAGAAGAGATATTCGATATTTACAACATGAGCACATGATATGTTCCTAGTAAAATTATTGGAATAAAATCATCCAAAGTTAGCTATGGTTGATCCAGATATTTAATTGTAGGTCAATCAATAAGCGAGAATGATTCTTTGTTTGTTGATCACTTCGAAAATATGTGAGAAGATTTGTTCTGTAGTAATGTCATATTTCTTAGTGAAAGATTCCAATTTAAATTTTGAATCTGATGATTTCTATGTCCAAAAAAATTTGAAATTAATTTCTTCATATGGTATCAAGCAAAATGTAAGTAAATTGATGGATGTAGCCGTTACTACGTAGTAGTAGATCATCAGGAAAAATGAGAAATTAAACTTTCTTCAAATATCGCGATTTCACAAATAAAACATTTAGAAGACAGATGAGTTTAGGTGAACATTGAAAAATCAAGTAGAATTTACAGGTTATCATTGTAGAAAATAAGATTTCATTGATTAAAATATCTTTAACTGTACTTCAGAACTTTTTGACATCTGTGTTATTTTTTATAACGGTAGGAAGGTGATTATATACTTTAATACTTTCATAAATCAGAGAATGCTGAGTCAAGGCGAATTTTGGAATAGGTAAATGAAGCACATGGTTCTGTCTGGTGTTGTGACAATTTGCTCTGGGAGTGTACATGCTAGTTTTATTTTTTTGAATTAAGCATACTGTTTCCATTATGTATAAACAGGTGACAGTTAATATTTTATGGCTAATGAATAAAGGCTTGCAGTAATCTCTCGGCTTAGACTTTATAAGGTATCTGAAAGGCCTTTTCTGAAGCACAAATATCGATCAATGCAAAGTAAGCCATTCTAGCTGTAGTGTACCCTAGTTCATTTGATATCATTCTAATTGCATAACATCCACTAAATACTGCTCAAACATTTCAAATAACTTGTTAAAATGTATAATACAATGGTTGGTTATTTCATGATTTTTCTTCGTTGCCTGATTAATTAACAAAAATGTAGTAGTTGTCAAAATAAATAAAATTATTAATGAGTTTTGATTTCAGTATATTATTGAATATCTAATTTAAGAAAAGGTAAGTATAGGATGTCTCAAATTGGGAGTGAATTTACCTTCTTATGTCCATATTCCGTTCATTTATATGTTATTTATATGAGATGAGCTCATTATACACAAGAGGTTTCATGGCTACTCTATAATTATACTTACAATGTATTATTAAAATTCCCAAGAAACAATAAGTTTTTCATAGATAACATTATTATCCAGTTAGTAAATATTTTTTGAGATTATATTTAAATGTAGCTTCTCCTAATTACTCCTTAGTGATGAAGTGATCCCTTCCAAATGTATGATTTTTTTTTTTGGAGAAAAATAGCAACATGGTAGATTTACATTAGAATGCCTGATTTGGTAAATATTCAAAATATTGCCGGTAGAAGATTTTGAAAAATTTTTTGTTTGGTGAAATGAAGTCAAAATGTTAGGAAACTGTTTAAATACAGCTTATAAAGTGGACTGTAAGCAGCAACTAACTCATTTCCCGAATTCATATTTTCTTGTCAGAATACAGTGTCGAAAAACAATTTAATTAATAATTAATTTGTCAATTGCTCAATAAACTATCAGAAAATAGCTCTGACAAAAAACATGTTTTTTTTTCAATTGAAAAAGATAAATTTGTGCATAAAAAAGTATAAAGCAATGATATGATGAAAAAAATCATGTTTTCATTTTTTGGAGCAAAAAAAAAGGGGAAATATGACCTTCTTTTAATCATTGAAGAGCCATAATTTCGAAATGCTATGATTCAAAATATTTTACATTCACTTATATAATGCCCCTTTCTTGATTCTTTATAATCTAAAACAAGAATGCAGAATATTTGCATTTCCTTTAGTCTAAAGGAACTTAGTTTCTGATTTCATGATTTTTTATAGAACCTCCACTGCAGAAGACTCATTTTTTCTCTTTTTTTTAAGAAATCCCATGAAGGCCTTTTTACAATTAATTTGGTTTCTTCTGCAATTTTTACCTTCTCAGGTAACATTCCTCTATTAAAACAAGAATGCAGAATATTTGCATTTCCTTTAGTCTAAAGGAACTTAGTTTCTGATTTCATGATTTTTTATAGAACCTCCACTGCAGAAGACTCATTTTTTCTCTTTTTTTTAAGAAATCCCATGAAGGCCTTTTTACAATTAATTTGGTTTCTTCTGCAATTTTTAACTTCTCAGGTAACATTCCTCTATCAAAAATGTTAAATTTGTTAATTCAACTAATTTTGAAATGATTTCTGCTGTAACAGTTTTTACATTAATAAGGTTAATGGTCTTTTATATACTTTTTACTTATTTACTAACTTTCAATTACCTTCACTAACATCTTTAGGTACATAAGATCTCCACCATCTGAATATAAGGTATCCATCCTGCACCCTTATGGTGTAATCAGGTGTTATGTATACTACATCTCTGAACATAGTCTTGCCAGATAGTACATTGATAGTTAATGATCCTAAAATATTTTGTGATAACAAAATAGGGTACAGAGTTTAATTGACTGACTCACCAATTTTGAAGAAACCTTCACCTATGAACAACTTATTCACTGTTTTTGTTATAATATATCCCACAACTCTGGAGTTATAGTATGTGATGTAAATAACCCAAGATACGGCAAATACCAAACTACATAATAACATAGCAAAGTTTGAGTCCATTTTTATGTCTTCCAAATTCAAGTGTTTGGAAGATACATTGAATAAAGGTATGGATATCTGAGACTTAACTGTCGTTTCCATTTCCATGATTGTTCCCACTAATGTTGTGTGTCAAAATATGGCAAATATAAACTTTGCATTGAAATATTTTTAGTAATCAGTCGACTAAATATCGATTATTCACATTTAACGATAACTCCATAACAAATAAATAAACATTTTTGACATTAGTAATCAATGACAATTGACAATGACACTAATTGTGTAATACAATCAACAATTTGACATGTATAGATTGAAGCAAACAAATCTGTTCTATAATGAGAATTGGTCTCAGAGTAACAAAAGACATTAGAGAGCAAAGACGTAGCGAAAAGAAAAACCAGGGGGGGGAAGGGAATCCAAATTTTCCCAACCCCACCAGCAAAATTTCCCAACTTTCGAAAAAATGAAAACCGCGGGATTAGTTACTACTATAATATAATAATTTCCTTACTTAGCTATCCAAAGATTGGCTGAATGTTTATGCCCGATAGGGTATGCACAAACAAAAATTAATTTTGGTAATCATAAAAATATTGGGAATTATTCTACTTTGGACCAAAGTCCTTGGTCTTCCACCATATCCATCATATATAGGAATATTCAATACAAATGAAAGGAAACAACACTTAAATAATATTATGCTTATTGTTTTCTACTATAATTTTTTCTATCTTCACGGCCCGAAATTTCCCAACTTTTCCAAGTTGAAAAAACAGCGAAAAGTTGGTAATTTCGTAAAATTGCCACTTAAAATTTGTGGACTGTTCTCTTACTTGGGAGAAACTAAACTTTTTTGAAGTTTGCAAACAACTCAAAATTTCAAGATCTCCAAGTTATGCATGTTGGGAAATCCCGACCTTCTCCTGGTTCTTTCCCTTTTCTTATTACCTCTCCCTTTCTTTTCTCTCATTTTTAATTTTTTAACTTTTATTAATTTTTTTACTATTATTTTTTTCTATCTTCACGGCCCAAAATTTCCCAACTTTCTCCCAACTTTTTCTCAAGTCGAAAAAGCATGGGGGGGGGCTCCCCCATCCACCCCATGGCAACGGCAACATAACTTTGTTTCTTTACGGGAAGTAAGTTGGATTCTGTTCAAATAGTTCCTACACGAAATCTGATTCATTATTAATGATTATGGAAATGAGGCCAGTTTTTCTACAACCTACTAGATTTTTATTTATGTTTGACTTTATAATAAAGTGCGTGGTTTACTGGGTTAAAATTAAATTATTTCATATGAACTAATTCATAACATTGACAAATGTTAATTTCAAAAGTAATGAACTTCACTTCATATAATCAGATGAAGAAATTTGTCATTTATTCTCAGATTTTATAAAGAAGCGGTACGATTTGTGAGATACGTGAATCATTTCGTTTAATGACAATAATGTATTTTATTTCGTTTCTTTAAATGAAATAAATGTATTCACCTCAAAGCCAACGAGGCTTCTAAACGTTCCTGTCAGGTTTAAACATCTCAATTACATCAGTTACCTGAATTATGGATTTTTCATTTTCATTAATATTCATCTCAAGTAACATATCCATAAAAATAATAGTTTTATACAGGGTGTTTCCTGATTAGGTTACGAAACTTCAGAGGCTGATTCGTTAGGTCGTTTTAAGAATAAACATTCCAGAGTTGCTTCGTATCTGAGATACGGGGCGTTGAAGTTTGAAAAAATCCTGTGGCAGTAGAGCTTGGACCCGTTGTATGTGATATGGGTATAAGAGGTTTCTTATTAGAACTATCCGTACGGTTTTTGGGCCTTCTTCCAGCTTCAGTGGAATCTTCCTGGTTATATTTGAAGGATCTTCTTCTATCGCATCAAGTACCTATAACTTTCACTAGTTCAGGCGTTGTTACAGTTTCTGGTCTTCCCCCACCTGCACTGCTAATTGACAACTCTGACTTTCACTGATATGACAACACTATCACTGTCAGCTGTGGTTTCTAAGTTTCCAAAGCAGGTGTTCATGATATGCAGAGTGGTTTCAATTTTTTTTCCGAAAACAAAGCTAGATATGAACAAAACACAAGCCACAAAAAAAGTTTTATTTTGCATTGAAAAACCTGAAAAAATGAAAAACTACGAGTCAGTGGCGTAATTTTTTTTTTCCGATATTGTTGGCTGTTGTGCCCACTGACCTAATAATTTCAATCTAGTTAGGGCTAAATTAGCACCTTGATACTTCAAATATCTGTAGCGAATTTCAGCGAAATCGATGTAAGGATATTTATATCTTATGAATACCGTTTTTTCAACTTCAATGCCCTATATCTCAGAAACGAAGCAACTCCCAACATATGTTTTTTCTTAAAACGACCCAACGAATCACCCTCTGCAGTTTCGTACCATAGTTAGGAAACATCCTGTATATATTTACAATCGAAATGAAAAACCTCTTTATACGGTACCGCCGCTGATAGTTTACTTGGCAAAATGTTTTGGGAAAATAAGAGAGATGGATTATTTACTGGTTACCATATGCAAAACGTTTTTTTTTTGAGAAGAGGTAATTTTTTTATTGTTATTTTAGAACAATTCGCTACGGAATAAGCTTGGGAATGCTTGACCTTCACCACGCTAAATCATTGCATACAATCACAGACCATATACCCACGGGTATATGGTCTGTGCATACAATACAGATGATAGTTGACAAAAGTGGCTGCGTCCAGGACAAGAAAGCAGACATCGCTGCGCTGAATCAGCAATGTCATCTTATCTTCGCGTTAGGCTACGCTGAATGCATAGAACGAATCAATATCTCAGCCTTAGAAAGCGCTAATGTGTATATTGGTGCCTTTTTTACGAATCATCAAACGATATTTGACCACTAACAGCTGATCAAACTTATACGTCAATTGTCAACTGCATGAGAGGAAGTGAGATAGTTAGGAGCCAGGACTTATAGGTTGTGAACAATGCTATGATGCCATATTTTGATTCATGTTGAAAACAATGTTGTAATATTATAAAATAATATTGTTACACTTCGAATCGACGAAATCTTTTTTATATATAGCACTACGATGAATGATTTATATTGAAGAATGTGCTTATTCGAGAACAAGAGGCAAAAAAGGATAAGTAGAATATCATCACTCATTTTCCCTTATTATACTACATACATTGATTTATGTGCCGCCACTGTGAATGGATCATTTCTAGCTCTGTATAAAAGTAAAGTTTACTTCTATAGGTGTTTTCAGTGTTTCAGCGATTACACGAGTTGTCCCTTAGAACTCATTAGGTCAGCGGCGGCTCATTAGAGGAAGCAAGGGAGGCTTAGCCCCCCCATAAAATTTGAGGCTATTCATCGCAATGAATTAAAATATATTGACAAATAATTATGATTATTTTTTTCTAAAAATGCTTGGGCATCATTACTTTACCATTAATTTTTAATATAAATACATAATATGCCCGAAAAAACACTATCACTCACTACGTAGTACGTACCACACTGTATCCTGCATCAACAAAACTCAAACGCATCGTCCAAGAACGAATAACGAATAAACTATCAACCCGAAATAATAAATGCAAGGGAGCCAAGCCTCCGACCGCTTTGAAAAACATAGGCTCCACGAGACCGATCCAAACAGCGACATACGTCCCGATTTGTAATTTTACTTGCAGAAATTATAGCGTTAGAGGAGGCATGGCTCCAGTTCCAGTTGGTCTTCGTTAGTGTACAAATGCGTTTGTTTTTTATTCAATTATTCGGACGGGATACCGTGACGGACCGGGACTAAAAAATATTCCGGTAAATCGTTTTAGTGTTTCGTGATAATATTTGTTATTTGTGTATAAAACAGGCGGTATTATATTATAGCAGTGGTTTTTGGTAATATTTTTAATGTTTTTTTAAAGTGTTTTCTTTCAATTTCAAGGTGTTTTCAGGTTTTCACTTTTCGGTAAGTTTTTTTTTATTTATTATGGATAAGTTGGACGAAATTAAAAAAATCTGCCGATATAGTCGATTGGTTACTGACAAATAATTTTAAGTCTTTTTCTTATGATAATAAATTTTACATTATTAAAACTCAGGGAAGTCCTCAACCAAATTTGATTTCAAATAAATCGTCAGATAATCGACAAAATCGTGGATTTAATATTAGTTGGTACGATAAATGCGATTGGTTAACCGGCTTCATTAAACGAGGAAATTTTTTTTGTTGGCCTTGTGTTTAATTTTTTGTACAAACCGAATACCAAACGTGGTCTAAAATAGGATACTCCGATTTGAAAAATTTACCTCGTGTTATGGAGCAAATATGATTCACAATTTGGCACTTTTTTAAACGGTAGCGTTTTTTCGGGCACCTCAAAAACTATCCAAAATGAGCTTATTATAGACAGTGTGGCATACATTATTAAGAAAAATATAAGCAAGGAGATTGATGTGTTTTTTTTTGCATGGAAAATTGATGAAACTACCGATATTACCTGTACATCACAACTTTCAATCGTTTTTAGATATGTCAAAGATGGTAATGTGGTAGAACGTTTTATGGGTTTTCATGATATTTCATCTGGGCGCACAGCTGAAGATTTGTTCAATTTTTTAATTCGTACGTGTGACACCTATAATTTTAGGCAAAAGTTGATTGCGCAAACCTATGATGGGGCTGTGGTCATGACCGTTTATTTAAATGGTTTACAAACTAAAATAAAAGCCATAGCTCCTCATGCACTTTTTACGCATTATCATGCGTGCAACAACATAAAAAATTTCGCGCCTCCAGCGGGCTTTTCTGTGTGTATATAGTCTATATGACTTAACCCTCTCCTGTTCTCCAATGCACGAGCCGTCACTGCATTAGGTCAAGAATATATGTGCTTATTGGTATCTCCATTTTGGACAAATCATGGGCACAGAAATCTGTTCCATATTTCAGCTATAATAGCTGATCAAATTTATTTATTGATGAATATTACTGGAAATTCATCCCAACTACAAACCGTTATTTTCTACACCTCGACACGTGTTTCGATCACCAAGTGATCATCTTCAAGAGAAAGATCAAACTCAATTTATCGAAATGTAGAATGAAACGAAGTGAGAAGTAGGAGGAACGTATGCCCTACGAAAACACGATTTTAGTTGAAAGCAATGCTCTTATGCTATATTTTGAATTGTGCCTTACTCATTTTGAAAGGTATATAATAATATTGTTTTACTTTCAGTCGTATTAATCGTTGTTTTTATCTATCGTTCTACGATGAATTATTTTGAGAAATATGCTAATTAGAGGAGATGAGGCAAGAAAAAGGATAACTTGAATAACAACACCCATTTTCCTTTTTTATGCCACACAAATTGATTTATGTGCAGCCACGGGAAATGGACTATTTTCAGAATTTCAACGATTACGCAATTTATCTCACAGAACGCATAATTATGTCATAGCTCGAGAACGCGCTCATTTGTTTATTGATACCCATTATTAAACTTTCACATGCCACTGTCAAGAAGTCAACTCACAGTCAATCAAGAACAGGATCAGATTTGTTTTTTTTTAGACTTATGATTCTACTTAATACGAATTTGTTAATCTCACCGTCAAATCCTTTGGTTACTTTTTGTTCTTTTTTCTTTTAGCTATTTTTTGAATAGGCAACTATGGTCATTAGCCTCGTATTCTAGACTATGTCAATAACTTTCCGAACCACCTGGTTATTTGCAATCCCGTCAGCCAAAAGATCAACCCTTCTTTAACTACTAGATACATTTCATCGAGAAAAATATCTGGTCGACACATTTACGGCGACTTCTGAAACATATTTTCAATTCTACCATCACATCTCCAATGCCAAATGTGTAGGAAGACAAAAGGGTATTTTCTCAAAAAACAAATCTCTCCTAAAATTACTTTCTTTTCAAGAAATGAAAAATGAACTTGTTCTGTCCTTGTGAAGGGCATACCCATTGGCAGACCCAGAACGCAAGAAGTTGTCATGTGAAGCCAGCGTTATACATGCGCAGTTGGCAACACCAAATTAAAAAACCCACTTCGTCAGTGACGTTCTTTTACGACGGGTCGGCCATTTTCAGCGGCGGTAAGTTTAATAATATCTTTAATTGTTTGAGAAAATAAGTGAATTCATACGACTAGAAAATTATAGAAATTTAAAACTTGTAACATTATATGTTGCGTTCAGTTGAAATTATTTTTTATTTCATTGATTGTAAATTGAAGTATAGCTTATGTAACACCCAATCTAAATAGTTCTTTGTATAATTTTCAAAAACGCAACTTTTTTCTATTTATCACAATTAATTAACGATTCCTCTGTACTTCGATTGTCGGTGTTACTTATTTAGTTATATAATTTTTCCAAATTTTATTTTATGTATCATTTTGACACGCCATCTGTAACCTCGCAAATTGAGTAATAGTGGTATTATCTGGATAAAATTGAATACTTCAGTTCCTACAAATTAATTAATCGAGATTACTTTTACAGAAACGAATTTATTGAACAACAGAATGTTTTCGACATTATTATCAAAAGTTTCTTGTCATGCATCAGAAAGTGTTCAAACCTCACCATCCCAAGATGTCCCTCAAAGAGGTTTGGTTCAGTCACTTGTAGCTGGTCGAGAAATAGCAGCCGCTGCCGTTGTTCCTGGAGACAGCTGTGAATTTGGTTCGGGTCACTACTTTGCATTATGTGGTCTAGGGGGTGAGTAGTAGAGAGAAATCATTATTGTTAAGATACATTCCTTAGATAACAATTACAAAAGCAATTGGATTCATTCAATGTAGCCTTGTATTTCCTTCAATGTTGGAGGTTGAATCGATATATGGGCCTCCAGATGTTGTCTGCGTTTTCTTTGTCTGCCTCGATTTTAGTATTAGATGTTATTTTTAAATTACTCTGCTACTCTGACTTGTTCGAAATCATTTTATTTTGTAGGCATAATTCATTCCATTCTATTCTACACTATATAGGGCAGAAATGATATATTAATTTTTGAAATTATATAATTTTTTAAATCATGTGACTCACTTTTCCATATATGTCATTGGCTTCCTTGATTTTGAATAGGAGAACAAAAATGCAACACTAGTTTCGCTATACAATACTCTCTTCCCGCGTGTCTATACTAATCTGTTTTTTAAACTCTAAATAATTGTGATTCTTTTGAAGAATGGTTGCAAAACAGGTATCAGTCAGTTTTTCTACTTCAATTATATATTGATAAAAATAAGCTTAATTGGGTTTAGTATAATCATATTGAAATAAAGAACTATCAAGGAGTTTACAAAATAAAGCCGTTAAATGCATTTTTCATTTACCTTCCTTAAAACCAACTAAAAATTCATATAAACCAAAGTGCTTACTTGATTCTATTTATAAATTGAGAGTATGCACCTTTCTGCAGTCTGTTATGTAGAATAAAAAACATTCCACTATGAAATTTATAGAATAGAAATGTACATAATCATCAAACAATAATCTGTTAACAAAAAATCTCAAATCTGCATTTTCCAGAACATCTATATTTTACATAGGAATACTTGCATATAATTAATCACTAAATGACCTTAAATAATTTTCCAGTGCCAAAATTCAAAATAGCATTAAACAAAGTATTTGTGTTATTAATTTACATTATCATATTTCTTTTGTTTTTTTTCTTTTATCAATTGGACCAATTCTGCAATATCTCCCTTTGAAGTTATATATTTATATGTGAATATTTTTTTATGAATAATATTTTTCTGTATAAAATATTGTAGTTTTTCGAGAATAAATGTTTATTTATTCAACATTTCAGACAGATATTCATTGGACAATGTATGCATCATAAATGAAAAGTATCGGAAAATATCTGATCAATATCATTATAATTGATGTGTGGTTATTTAATACATGTATTAAAAAACATCTACGGTGAAACTAGTGATGAGGGTTTGTAAACTCTTTAGTGAAAGTCTATATTGAAAAGGTTGAATATTTCCAAACTATCATTGTGATAGAACGGATGTGTATCCAATTTCGTCTGAAACTTTGGGGTTAGTGAGAGAATTACCATTTCACTGAAATTATTTTATACTTTTCAGATAAACGACTAATCAATACAGTTTATTTGTATGATTTTCACTATAAGGGTCTTACAAAAACCACGACACGTGTTTGGCTATACAATAGCTTCTTCAAGCGAAAACTGAGAGTTACTTCTAAATTACACCATTATATACTATAACCAAGTACCTATTCGTCTACCTGAATAATGAATCTACCTCAAAAGGTCAGGTATACCTGAAAGTATACCTGTAAATATACTTAACTATTTGTACCTGCGAATGAACGGATTCAATAATGGCGAATTATTCAATTCAGTTTGATCGTTCATAAGATACTGAGAATTTTTGAATTTGTTTATTTCCATACTCTCCAACAGGTTAAGTTTCAAACCTTTCTTCTGGAAGTGGAGGGGTTTGTATTCATGGTTGAACTCATGTCCTTCCGAGATTAAATGACTGGCTGTTGAATGTGGAATTTATTTTTCCATTCTGAAAACTATATTTGTGTTCCTTTATGCGGGCTTTGAACGTTCTTCCAGTTTGACCTATATAAAACATCGGACATGACCCACACGATAATTTATACACTCCTGATTTTTCTGAAGCAGAACTAGGTTATAGTATGTAATGGTGTAATTTAGAAGAAGCTATTGTATAGCGAAACACGTGTCGCGGTTTTTGTAAAACCCTTATAGTGAAAATCATACAAATAAACTGTATTGATTAGTTGTTTAATATGGATTTTCATCAAGTATCGGCCAGTTCTATTCAACTTTTCAGATATTTGATGCTGTCTGAAACACATCGGTTCCATAAGAACTTTTCATTTATTACACTGTGTAGTGTTTCAATTTACAATAGGAATATATGGTATACTAATCGAAAAAGAAAAAAGTGATTTCATTATTACTAAATATCCTTGAAGTGAAGTAGTTGTTTCAGCTGAACTCTTGCAGTTTGTATTTGAAAAACACGTTTAAGAATGATACACAAATTTTCCTAGAGGTTTTGTTGATGTTTGTTGAATATTTCTTTAATTCTCCAGATATAGTTTTCTATTCTCTGTAGGTTTCTTTTGTTGCCATTAATTTTGTTCTAGATTGGATAATGAGTACTGACAGCGAATAACTCATAGCGGGAATAACCCAATCTGAAATGAGATTAATGTTAACAAAACACAACTTTCATTAAAGAAGTAGAAAAAAACTGTTTCTCAACTCAATGTAAATCTGTAGCATATTCCGCCCAAGTTCTTGAAAATATCTAGGTAAAAAATACAATATAGATTAATGATTGAAATTTTAAATTCTTTTTGACAATGTTAAAAATGTTCAGATAGTATATAACTTGCCTGACAAATATCCAGGATACAAATAATCACACTTTTAACACCTATAAACTTGGAAAGTACAATGTTGACATTTTTATAATACTTTTATATGATCTATTTCTAAAGTATCTTGAAAGATATGCAGTTATGAGGAGGATTGATTTGTAAAAATCATGCTGATCATTGACTACATATTAAAAATTTCTGGAAGAGTTCCATGGGAGTGAAGTGAGATTTTGTCATTGCTGTTCAAAATATTTTCTTTTATTTACTACCTGCTTGACTATTAGTCTTATGGCCTGAGTTTCTCTTTCGAAAATGTTTTTAATAAATAATATACCTTGCTGATAGATAACTTTTTCTCAATATAGTAAAATGCTGGCCTTCACTAATGAAGAATCCTCTGAAACAGGTGAAGAATCAGATAAATTATTTAAAATTACTTTGCAAGGGTTTTGAAAGTCTGCAGAAATCGAAATATCACCTATCACATTCAATTTTTCTCTGTTTAGGTATATTGTCTTGTGGAATAACACACACAGCTGTAGTACCATTGGATTTAGTCAAGTGCCGAATTCAAGTAGACCCAGTCAAATACAAAAGTGTGTTTCATGGTTTCAAAGTCACTTTGAAAGAGGATGGAGCAAGGGGATTGGCAAAAGGATGGGCTCCAACTTTCTTTGGTTACTCTGCTCAAGGATTGTGCAAATTTGGTCTTTACGAAGTCTTCAAAGTTTTTTATAGCGATTTGATTGGTGAAGAGAATGCTTACCTGTACAGAACTTGGTTGTACCTCAGTGCTTCCGCTTCTGCTGAATTCTTTGCTGATATTGCTCTTTCTCCTATGGAAGCTGCAAAAGTGAAGATTCAGACCACGCCTGGATTTGCAAATACTCTTCGTGAAGCTTTCCCAAAAATATATAGAGAAGAAGGTATGTATCCTTTCAACATTAGGATATAAAAAATTGAAGAAAAAAAACTTCTATTATTCATTAAATGGAAAATCTCCACTTTCAGGACTCAACGGTTTTTACAAATCACTTGTTCCCTTGTGGATGAGGCAGATCCCTTACACAATGATGAAATTTGCCTGCTTTGAACGTACTGTGGAACTTCTGTACAAATATGTTGTACCTAAACCTAGAGCAGACTGCAGTAAGGGCGAACAGCTTGTAGTCACATTCGCTGCAGGTTACATCGCTGGTGTATTTTGTGCTATCGTTTCTCACCCAGCTGACACAGTTGTCAGTAAGTTGAATCAAGAGAAAGGTTCGACTGCCTTAGAGGCCGCTAAGAAATTGGGTATGGCTGGATTGTGGAAAGGTTTAACGCCAAGGATTGTCATGATTGGTACACTTACAGCTCTACAGTGGTTCATTTACGATGCATTCAAGGTAATTGATAAAATCTTGATTACATATAAATTGTCCAAATTTTCAGGATGTTTCTGTTTTAAAAAAAAAGATATTCTGCAAGATTTTTGTGCTAATACATTATAATTTTTAATAGGTTGCCATGCGTATGCCACGTCCTCCACCACCAGAAATGCCAGAATCTTTAAAAAAGAAGCTAGAAGGAAAAACAGAATAGATTAATATTAAAACAAATTTTCAACAACTTTCCAAGTAAATGTGTATTAATGCAGTATTTACATTAGACAGACACTACAAAAGATTATTTAATTCGGTCCAAGTGAAGTTCCCATCATATTTTAAGTTGTTTACAACCACCTGTATTTTAGATTGTATATAGTGACTATTAAATACAGTTGAACTGTTTTCAAGTTGATTGTTTTTCTGTCTGTAAAATTAGCCGACTCGAGTGTAAAATGAACATTAAATATAAATTATATTCGAATATTAAATGGCTTGAGTAAGTATATGACTTTTCATAAGGAATAGCATTCTGTGATCCCAAAAAATACAACATTAATAATAATAATTTTATTAAACATTTTTGGTACCTAATGTACATAATATGGTGAGTCAATAAATGTAATACATGTTCTATACATATCAAGAATGAAAAAAATAGTTAGTCATAATTGAATAAAAAATTGAAGAATGAAGATAAAATATAAATATAAAAACATAAATCACTGCACCTAATATATAAATGTTACAGTTCAAAAACAAATATATATATTATAATACAATGGGAATTATTTTCAGGAATTATCACTCCAAGTCTTTTAAATTATAAAAACATTTTTTTATTAAGAATATTTTCACATTTTTTATCGACCTTTTTTGGGTAATTGTTACCTTCCACAATCTGAAAAAATATAAAAATTATAATGGAGAACTTGAATATTTTCGTATTATTCTTGAAGATTTTAAATGATTTGGACTCCTTGATTGAATCAAGCAATTTATTATAAAGTGAGACAGCATTATATATCATATGGAAAATAAGTCTTATAATGCGTTTTTGGGCAACAAATATTCTATTTAAATCTCTACCGCATTCCCATGACATTATATTCAAGGAAATATGTTGATATGCCATGGCAAAATATATATTTGATTTTTTTCATCTACAATCAATTTCATTTGCTTAATCGCGAAAAATGCTGCATTTTCTTGCAAACCCCATCAATATGCAGATCCCAATTTAAAGATTCATCTAACATGGTACATGAAAATTTTACATCATGTGATCGCTATTCCATCAGTAATGCCAACTCCATCTGGAATTTTATTTTTATTATTATACGCTTTATATTAGCTTGACCTGTATCATTGTCTAAGGATTTACAAGTACAAATAACACAAACTGATAACTACTAAAAGCACAAATAACACAAACTGATTACCAAGAAAACAATAAAACCAGATCAGAATCACAAAAAATCACTACTAATAACAACCTCTTATATGCCTATAAATTGCAACGCAAATGGCTCGCTGAGCAGGACACAAAGACAAAGCCTGTCAGAAACTTAAAAAAAATCATTTACAACTTTTTACTATGACACTTTCCATCTCAATCTTTTATCTCTTTTTTGGAAACCACGGTATTGCCGCCATCAACTTTTCATTTCCATCGTCCTCCATCGTAACTCCATAACATTGTCTAATAAGGTTGACTGACTATAAAATTCAATTTTATTTTCAATTCGATATATCAAGATAATTACATAAACATGCATTATTATAACAGTTATCCTTTGTTATCCCAAGGGTTCTCCTAAGCACTCGAGCCGCTTGTTTTGTGCATCCCCTTGGAATAATTTAGGATTTTCATTAGGTAAATAAAATGAATGGTAATCATATACATATTAATATACTGATATCAAAGAAAATATACATTCTATCTAGTTGAATTCTTGTAGGAAATGATAACATTCAATCAATGAATAATTCTTTTTTCTTTGGGATTGTTTTTTTTCAAATTTACCTTATTTTCTCTTCCTTGTTTCGACTTCTCTAATTTATGATTTATTAATTGTTTAATTTTTTTTCTCTAACCTTACATTTCAGTCTATGGAGCGGTTGATATGGTAAGGATCCATGTCTTTATTCATATTTATATTACAACGGTGGGGTTCGTTCATATAAACTTATATACATACACAAATTACACACGTACAAACATATAGGTATGTCAATCTTCATCCATATACACAACTGACTTTTGATCAACCATATGTATTTTTCATAGTAACTTCACTAATGTTAGATAGTTAAGGTTGATGAATTGTTTTATATTTGTTAAATGAGAGGTTTTCTTTCAAACTGCGATCTAGTATATTGTAAAATTTAGGACCGAAATAGAAAATTGTTCGTTGTGTATGAGTTTTTTTAAAAATGGGAATTACTACATTCAAATTTTCGACAGATCTAGTGTTTTTTATCTTTTTGCTATAGTGCGAAGATGTTTATTATTATACATCCATAAGACAGTGATAAATATAAATACATGTTATGTTATACCAATTGGTTTCTTTATAGAGCTGTTCTGTTGAGTAGAGTTTTTTTTCTAAGAATTATTTTGATTATGGTATTTTGCATGGCTTGGAGACTGTACAGGTTGCAGTCAAATGTGCCACCCCACCCGGAGATAGAATACCTAATAACTGATTCTGCTAAAGATCTATATACCGTCATTAGATTTTTAATGTTTAAGATTTCTTTCAAATTATACATTTTGTGACTGAGCTGGCGGAGTCGCTTTGTAACATATATGGTATGTTCGTCCCATCTCATATGCTAATCCAAAACTACACCAAGATATTTTAACTTTGATTATTTTTTTATGGAAGGGCAATTACATTGCTTCCTTTGTGGATATTCAGAGGTATGTATTTTTAGGGCAGTGTTAATTGTTTGATCGTTTTTGAGAAGCGTGAAACAAACGAATTTGATTTTATTCAGATTCAAACTGAGGAGATTGTAGTTCAGCCATATCTGGATATCCTTCAAACCATTTGCTGCTGTTTGCCATGTCATGCCATGTTTTGTCAGAAAAAATGATCGCCGTGTCGTCTGCATATGAAATAAGATTTTCAACCGATTTTATACAGCCAATACTATTTATGTAAACTAAAATAAAATCGGCCCCAATAGTGTGCCTTGTGGAACACCAATTGTGATTTCATTTGAAGAACTAAGTTCACTTTTGTGTCTGAAAATTCCTTTATCGCATGATCTACACATCTTTGTGAAGAGTTTATTTTGAAATTAAATGATGTCCTCATTCCTTTGAAAGATTGCAATATATTTCTGTATAAAGATGAAGAAGTAGAAAATCAAAACGTTTCTTTCCCAATAAGTATTTCGTTCTAGGTTATCAAAACATGTTCAGTAGAGATTACTATTGAAGTGGACATGATAAAAATGAATCCTGATTTCAAAATCATAACAAAAACTCGAAATTTCCAGTGTATGAAGTAAAACTTTGGTTATTTCATAACAGCTATGTAACCAGTAACGTAAAATTCCCGTCTGTGTAAAAAGTGCTATTTGTGCAAAGCAAGTGTAGCGAGATTCCGCAATTTTTACAAGACACTATCCATCCCGAATCGAAATTGATTGATATTGCAACGAGATTCTAACATAGCACACCTGTCCGTGAGTATTTGAATGAATCTATGGCTATTAGGTACACCGGACGAAGAAAATCAGTAAAGTGGCCCGCAGTATCGCCAGATTTGAATCCATTAAATTTGTTGTAAGGTCCCCTGAAGATACCAACCTATAAAGAAACAGCCAGCATCTCTGGATGACAACAACTTATTGATAAATCCCGCAACATCACATCTGAAATGCTTCAAAATGTCCAAGGGTGCTTTGAAGAAAACCTACACTTTATTCAGTTCATGAACATATAAACAAGTAAAGTACATGAAAAAATCCAGTTTTTTTATTTTTTTTTTGGTTTTCTATGGTTTGAATAATTAGTTATGAAATTATTTTTGAAAAATTTGGAAAGTTTATGATATTATAAACACACTTGTAGGGGAAATAAGCAGTTTTCATATGAAAAAAAAATAATAAAATAAACTTTGTGAAATGAAATTTTGAGACCTAGTATCCTGAAAAACATTTTATTGTACATGGTTGTTTTTGATAAATTTTGTGAGTCTAAAATATAAACATATTCGATAATTACCATAATTACTTTCTCATTCAATGAACGAAGTGAAAAAATTAAAGAGCATAGAAGTAGTTTTTTGAATATAAAGACCAATTCCACATTTTTGAACCACTTTTTAGCAAGATATGAATTCAATCATGAATACAATGTGTTAGTTACATTTAGAAAAGTTTGAAACTCAATCTTCTAGAATGTCTAAAAATAAATAGATTCAAGAATTCGGGTAGCTCACTGAATGAAGAAATAGAATTGAATAACTCCACGTTACTGAATATTTTTTCAAATGTGAAAACTGGGACATAAGCTCAGATAATTTAATTCATTACAAGCTAAGGTACACATAAAACATTAAATGGTTAGGTAAGACTCGGGTACTTGAATTTTAGGTACTTCAAATTGTGAAATTAGATATATTGAATATGTAGAATATAGTTAGTAAAGACATGCTCGAAGAAGCCAATGTATGGCGAAACACGTGTTGCGTTTTTGTAAAACTGTTTAGTAAAAATCTCAAAATAGAGTGGTTTTTGAATACGTTATGGATTTTCATAAAGTTTCGGCCATGATATATTGAGCATTGAATATGTAGAATATAGTTAGTAAAGACATGCTCGAAGAAGCCAATGTATGGCGAAACACGTGTTGCATTTTTGTAAAACTGTTTAGTGAAAATCTCACAATAGAGTGGTTTTTGAATACGTTATGGATTATCATCAAGTTTCGGCCAATCCCATCATATACCTAAACGAAGTGAGAATATATTGTAGTTTTTTTTTTCTAAATATATTCTTGATTTATAAAATGAAAGATTTTTCAAGTGTCAAAATTTTGTTTATGTACAACCGTCTCATCAAAACAGTAAAAGTTCTTGAACAAGTATTAAAAATAACAACTTTTTCATAATATTTCATAACAGTCAATGCAATATTTTTCAAAAATATTCAATTATTCCATTTGTTAAAGAAATTGCTCAAACAAATTGCATTAAAAATTACTTATGCTTTAATTAATTTATTGTACAACAACGATAAAAATAAAAACAACAATAAAAATTAATTGGCGCTCCGGGACGACTTCATTGATTCCAGTGGAGCATTTGCTTTTTCAGCTGCAGGAAAACCCGGAAAAACCTACAGCACCACATCATCTAAAGATCTTGATTTTAAAAAAGTTTTTCAAACCCTTTTCCGTTTTTTGAATTGCAGTTGTTCATAATTATTGATAGTTTCTACAGAAAAAAATCTCAAGAGTTTTTGTCAAAATGGTTAAGGTTTTCACG